TATTTCAGACTTTTCAATTGTTGCAGCATCCCCACGGTCAGGTGATCAAAATTTGGAAGCTTGGCAACTGGCAAGTATTTACGACGGTTGCAGCGTCCCGATGGGTCACATGATCCCCTTTTGCGACCTTCCGATAAGCAAAATCAATGGGGAAGCCTGATTCACTTTACAACCATGTTATTAACTTAACGACTCAGTAATTCACTTAACAAATATGTTACTAATTCAACAACTCAATGATTCACTTAACAACCATGTTACTAACTCAACAACTCAATGATTCACTTAACAACTGTGTTACTAACTCAACAACTCAATGATTCACTTAACAAATATGTTACTAACTCAACAGCTCACTAATTCACTTAACAAATATGTTACTAACTCAACAACTCAATGATTCACTTAACAACCATGTTACTAACTCAACGACTCAGTGATTCACTTAACAAATATGCTACTAATTCAACGACAGTGATTCACTTAACAACCATGTTACTAACTCAACGACTCAGTGATTCACTTAACAACCTTGTTACTAACTTAGCTGCGGCGATTCTTCCTCCATGTCTTAGAAGCGCAAGTCGCTAAAAAGAAGCGATAGATTTATTTCTGGCCCAACCCTATGGCCAGGGAGATTGATTTTATCTTTACAAGGGCTTGCCCACAAATTGTTTTAGACGGTGCAAAGCCCAAGGAGGGATGGAAACGCAGGACCCTCAATTGCAAACTGAGAGTTGGGACACTCCGTGCCGTGATGGAAGATCTGTAGACCTCTCTTTTCCCCATCTCCACCTGGAAGACAAAAACCTATGTTTGGTGGTGGGGTGGGGGGAAATAACGGCTTTAAAAATGTATATATTTTCTCTTTTTTCCTTCTGCATGACCCCGAATCTTTCGGCAGTGGGATCTGGTTTGTTCATCCCGAACACTGAAGCAAATGGCGCAGTCGATTTATATGGCTGGAGTTCTAGTCGGCGGCATCTTATTCGGAGGCCTCTCGGACAGGTGAGGAACGAGAATTTTGACATCCAAGTTAAAAATGTTGTAAAGGGGAAACTACTATCGCTCTGCTCAGCTCGGCAACACGAGATGCCTTTGAGTGTGTGCAAAGTGTCACAGTCTTTCTGTATTAAATGCATTTAATTGCAATGTTCTTGGTGCAGTGCGGACTCGGGATAAAAGTACCGATTAATGTTGTAAGGGGATCATTAACTGGATAACTTTGCAACCGAGAAATGCCACTGGGCACGTATAAAGTGCTAGGGTTTTTTTTCTTTGTTACACGCATTTAGCCGGCACCAATATCTTAGCTGCGGTGTGGACCCAGAATAAAAATCGCAATCAATATTGTGTAAGACGCAAACCAATAATTAACTGGATAACTTTGCAATGGAGAATTTTGCCTCTGCGCGTGTGCAAATTGCTAGTTGTTTTTTTTCTTCATTACATGCATTGGGCATGCAGCAATATCTTAGGTGCAGTGCGGGATCCAGGATAAAAAGAACCAACGAATGTTGCAAGACGCAAAACGATAATTAACTGGATAACTTTGCAACTGAGCTAGGCCTCTGGGCATGTACAAAGGGCTCGGGATTTTCTTTATTAAATGCATTTAGCACGCACCAACACCAGAGGTGATAGTACGTGCTTTCCTTCCGAATATTCACTCTCCTCTCCACTTTTCTGTTCTGACGTTCCCTCCTTTTCTGTCCCTGCAGATTCGGTCGCCGGCCGATCCTTTTGTGGTGTTACCTGCAGCTGGCCACAACTGGCACGGCAACTGCCTTTTCTCCCAATTTCAGCATCTACTGCATCCTTCGCTTTGTCAGCGGGATGTCTTTCTCGGGCATCGTGATGAACGGCGTCTCTCTGTGTGAGTCCCTGGGGTCATCCCGTTGCCACGTAGATCCATCTTCCCCGGTTTGCGCCGGTCTGGCGTTGACTGATCCGTGAGCCGTAAATGACGCCTCCATAGACAGGAACAGTAGGCCCTCGAGTCACTGTTATTTTGGGAGTGTGGTTTGTTTCTTGTTACGTTTATCTTTTGGCAGCCCTGATGGTTTCCACTTGCCAGGTTTTGGGCTTTTCCCTCACCTGGGCAGGTTGAAAGTCAGAAAGACTTTGAATGCTGGTTTTGCTCTTCCCAACAGGTGTGGAGTGGACGCCCACCAAGACCCGTCCGGTGCTGGGGGCCCTCAATGGCTGTGCGTACACCACTGGGCAGCTGGTCCTGGCTGGCCTGGCATATCTTTTCCGAGACTGGCACCACTTACAGCTGGTGGTCTCTCTACCTTTTTTCTTATTCTTCTGTTATTCTTGGTAAATAGGACACGGGAATAAGTCTTTCCCATAAGGATCTCAGAGTCCTAGTGGACCGTCACTTAAATGTGAGCCAGCCGTGTGCTGCAGCTGCCAATAAGCCAATGCAATCCTAGGCTGCATTAACAGAGGTCAAGTGTTAATACCACTTTACAAGGCCTTGGTAAGGCCACACTTGGAATACTGCATCCAGTTTTGGTCGCCACGATGTAAAAAAGATGTTGAGACTCTAGAAAGAGTGCAGAGAAGAGCAACAAAGATGATTAGGGGGCTGGAGGCTAAAACATATGAGGAACGGCTGCTGGAATTGGGTCTGTCTAGTTTAACGAAGAGAAGGACGAGGGAGGACATGATAGCAGTATTCCAATATCTCAGGGGCTGCCACAAAGAAGAGGGAGTCAAGCTATTTTCCAAGGCGCCTGAAGGCAGGACAAGAAGCAACGGATGGAAACTAATCAAGGAGAGAAGCAACATAGAACTAAGGAGAAACTTCCTGACAGTGAGAACAATTAACCAGTGGAACAACCTGCCTCCAGAAGTGGTGAATGCTCCAACACTGGAAGTTTTTAAGAAGAGATGGGACAGCCATTTGTCTGAAATGATATAGGCTTTCTTGCCTGGGCAGGGGGTTGGACTAGATGACCTCCAAGGTACCTTCCAACTCTGTCATTCTATTCTATTCATAGTTATGACAGCCCGGGGAAAAAGTATAGTCCTTGACTTACAACAAAGCCCAAATTTCCATTGCTAAGCAAGACATTTGTTAAGTGAATTTTTGTCCCACTTTACAACCTTTATGTTAAGTGAATCACTGCGGTTGTTAAGTTAGTAGCAATTGCAATAGCCACTTAGTCATATATACTGTCAAAAACATTGGTGTTAAGCGAAGCTGGCTTCTTTGACTTTGCTTGTCAGAAGGTTGCAAAAGGAGATCACGGGACTCTGCGACCGTCATAAATATGAGTCAGTTCCCAAGCATCAATATTGTATTCTATGTCCTGTCCCCAATTTTAGCCATCGTTAAGACGCATCAATGCAGTAGTCCTCCGTGAGGAAACAAGAGATGCAATACCATATTTTCAACTACTGATCTAGAATCTAGAATAGAATAGAGCTGGAAGGGACCTTGGAGGTCTTCTAGTCCAGCCCCCTGCTCAAGCAGGAGGACCTATACCGTCTCAGACAGGTGAATGTTGAATAGAATAGAATAGAATAGAATAGAATAGAATAGAATAGAATAGAATAGAATAGACAAGTGACTGTCCACTCTCTTTTTTTGGCTGATTTATAGAGCTGGGAACCATAGTATTAACTGGGAAGTAGTTGGTAAGCCTAAGCGTGAATCTCCTTGTGGGGTTTTTTCCTTTCTTCCAACCTTCATCCCCACAGGTGGCTTTGTGAATCGGCTCGCTGGCTGATAACAGCCGGGAAGCTCGAACAGGCCGTGACGGAGCTCAAGAAGGTGGCCAAAATGAACAGGAAGCCGGGAGCTGCTGGAGCGCTAAATGAAGAGGTGAGCCTGCCAAAAGACGTCAAGATTAATTCTGTTTATTTGCATAATCGTGCCTCCTTTGGATCATACGATTGTGGGGATGTGGCAATGGTCGTAAGTACGAGGACCGGTCATAATTTCAGTGGCATCGTAATTTTAGACAGTCGTGAAATGAAGGATCATAACTCGACCTCTACGTGGGATTTAACAACGCAGGTAGTCCTCAAAGTTATGACTGCAATGGAGGCTGGCAATTAGGGTCATAAGTTGTGATTGTTGTAAGGCAGATCCCCACGTGATGAGACCCAATTTTACAACCTTTTTTTCGCGACGGTCATTAAGCGAACCTGGCAGTTGTTAAGTGAACCCATTGTTCTCTCTGGGCTAGTTTTTGCCAGAAACGGGATGGGAAAGCCAATTTCCAGCGAAACGGTCATAAACTGGAGTCCTTTGACTGCAGGGTGCTGCCATCGGCCGTAAATCCTGGCTGGATGTTGACTGGCCAAAATGTGGTTGCATCCTCACCAGGGTGGGTGGGGCCAACATTCAAACTCGAACAGTCACTAAGGGAACTGTCATAATTCGAGGACTACTTGCACCTCACACCAGGTTTTCGAACTCGCCCCCTTGAGTGCCATTAAAAACACCTGAAGTGTTAATAATGTGTTTATCTAAACCAAATTGGAATATGGTAATTGTAAATAGCAAAGCTTAAAACAGGATTTGGATTTATACAGATGAAACGTTATTGATGACTGTTCTGATTGACTGAATTTTTATTGACAAAATATATTAATTTGGATATATTATATTATTCGAGGGAAATAGAGAGGGAGTTTTTAATGATTTAATCTGAGTTATATATGTATGATTTTGTTATTGAATAATTGATTACCCAACGTCACCACGTTGTTTCTCAAGCACCTTTTTGTAAAAAATAAAAAATCAATAAAACTTGTTTAAAAAAAAGAAAAGAAACCCCCCAGATTTAAAAACTCAACCAGGCCTTCCAATATATCCCCCCCTCCAGTTTTTGAGATCCAATATGAAGGAAGAATTGGCCTCCATGACGTCCAAGACTTCGCTGCTCGACCTGGTCCGGACCTCAACCATGCGCCGCATCTCCCTCTGCGTCTGCTTCGTCTGGTGAATTGCATGGCGGAAAACTCTGGGAAAAAAAACCCTCTCTCCCCGCCCACTTTGCAAGCTTAATTTGATTTAATTTAATTTAGCTTTTATTATTTTTTTAATTTAATTTTATATTTAATTATGTTTTTATTTTATATTTTACTTTATTTTTAATGTTATTTTATTTTACATATTTTATTTTATTATTCTATTCTATTCTGTTTTATTTTATTTTAATTTAATCATGTTATTTCATTTTATCATTTTATTTTATCATTTCCCTTTATTTTTTATTTTACATTCTATTTTATTTTTTATTTTATAATTTTTTTATTCTGTTCTATATTATTTTAAATTATTTTATTTTATTATTTTATATTTTTTATTCTAGTCTATTCTTTTACTTTATAATTTTATTATTTCATTTTATTTTATATTATATTTTACCTTTTATTTATTTTATAATTTTATTATTCTGTTCTTTTTATTTTAAATTATTTTATTTTATTATTTTATATTTTTTATTCTATTCTATTTTTCTATAATTTTATAATTTTATTTTATATTTTACATTTTATTTTATTTTCTAATTTTATTAGTCTATTTTATTTTAAATTATTTTATTTTCTTCTATTTTTATTCTATTCTATTATTTTATTTTATTATTTCATTTTATTTTTTATTTTACATTTTACATTTTATTTTATAATTTTACTGTGTTGTATTTTATTTTAAATTATTTTATTTTATTATTTTATATTTTTTAATTCTATTCTATTGTTTTGTTTTATTTTTATTTTATGATTGTATTATTTATTCACTTGTTTTTTTTCCTCTGGTCCCCTTCCAAGGTTCTCCACCAGTTTCGCTTACTATGGGCTGGTGATGGACCTGCAGAACTTCGGGGGCGACATCTACCTGATCCAACTCTTTTTTGGAGCGGTTGACTTCCCGGCTAAGTTTATTTCAGTCCTCACCATCACCTACATTGGACGCCGGTTCACCCAAGCTGTTGCCCTTATCTTGGCTGGGTTAACCATCCTGGCCAACATCTTCATCCCTCAAGGTGAGGAAGACCTTGGTTCTCAATAGCGCAATTGTTGTTAGTTGCGAAGTTGTGTCCGACCCATCGTGACCCCATGGACAACGTTCCTCCAGGCCTTCCTGTCCTCTACCATCTTCTGGAGTCCATTGAAGCTCACGCCTCCTGCTTCAGTGACTCCATCCAGCCACCTCATTCTCTGTCGTCTCCTTCTTCTCTTGCCCTCCATCTTTCCCAGCATCAGGCTCTTCTCCAGGGAGTCCTTCCTTCTCATTAGGTGGCCAAAGGACTTGAGTTTCCACTTCAGGATCTGGCCTTCTAAAGAGCAGTCGGGGTTGATCTCCTCTAGGACTGACCGGTTGGATCGCCTTGCAGTCCAGGGGACTCGCAGGAGTCTTCTCCAGCACCAGAGTTCAAAGGCCTCCATTCTTTGGCGCTCAGCCTTTCTTAGGGTCCAACTTTCACAGCCATACATTGCAACTGGGATTGCAATACTGGAATCCAAAGGTTATGGGGATGCTTGCACAAGGTCTCTGGTTTTCTGCCTTGTACTCAGGGAGGTTTAGATATTAGCTTTTAAGATTTTAGAGGGATGGACGTCAACTCCCAGAATTCCCCAGCCAGCATGCTGGAAGTTGAACTCCACCCATCTTAAAATCTGCTGGCTGGGGAATTCTGGGAGTTGAAGTCCATCCCCTCTTCATGTTGCCCAGGTTGAAAAACAATACTTCAGGGTCCTTTGGATTAAAATACAAAGGAGAGCAAGTAATAATGGCTAAGCACCTGATTGGAGATGTGACAATAGACCGAGGTTGGCTGTGAGGTGGTGAGCAAAGTAAACAAAAAAAAAAGAACTAGATCTTTTCACAAACAGAACCCATTCTTCCATCTGGAAACTGGATCCGATGGATCGGTCTGTTCAGAACCACGGACAGCATCCCTGGATCAGTGGATCCCGCTGCTAAACTAGGCTGTTGTTTCAGCAACGTTCTGGAGATAATTCTATGAAAATTGGACATGTTATCCCCCCCATTATACAACATACAATAGCAGAGTTGGAAGGGACCTTGGAGGTCATCTAGTCCAACCTCTACCATTCTGGACAAATGGCTGTCCGGTCTCTTCTTGAAGACTTCTGAGGGGCTGCCGCAAGGCAGAGGGGGCCAGGTTGTTCACCAAAGCACCAGAGGGAAGGATGAGAAACAATGGTTGGAAACTGATCAAGGAGAGAAGCAACTTGGAATTAAGGAGAAACTTCCTAACAGCGAGGACAATTAACCAGTGGAACAGCTTGCCACCAGAAATCGTGGACGCTCCATCACTGGAGGTTTTTAAGAAGAGACTGGACAGTCACCTGTCTGAGACGGTGTAGGTTCTCATGCTTGAGCAGGGGGCTGGACTAGAAGACCTCCAAGGTCCCTTCCAGTTTCTATTCTATTCTAAAGAGATGGAGCGCCCAAGACTTCTGGAGGCGAGCCCGATTAATTAAAAGCAATGAGTTGGTGGGCATCCATGTGACCGCCCTTGCCACGAATGGCTGGGCGCTCCAGACAGCGTGGTCCTCACCCAAGACCTCTCCCCTTCTCCCAGATATGCAGACCCTGCGGACCACCGTGGCTGTTTTTGGGAAGGGCTGCCTAGGCGCCTCGTTCAACTGCATCTATTTATACACTGGAGAACTTTACCCCACGGTGCTTCGGTGAGAGACCAAACAAGGGGGAACCACTGGGCAGGTGACTTTGAAAAGACAGCTTGGGCTCCGGTGGGAGGGAAAGACAGGAAAAGTGGGTGCAAGATAGCTGCTTGTGGGGGTGTCGTTGAAAAAAAATAATACAGGGGTTTAAATTGAGCAAAGTACCTCCGTGAGGTCAAGCAGCATGACCAATCCTTTTGCTTGGGGGGGGGTGTCCGTCTGTGCAGGCAAACCGGAATGGGTCTCAGTAACACCATGGCCCGCATAGGAGGCATCGTGGCTCCGGCGGTGAAGATGACAGGAGAATACATCCCATTTCTGCCCAATCTTATCTACGGTGCGGCTCCCATCATATCCGGAATCGTGGCGGCCTTCTTGCCGGAAACCCGTAACATCCCCTTGCTGGAAACAATAGAGCAGGTGGAGAACAGGTGAGGGGAAAAAAAAGTGGTCCTGAATTTTTGCATTCCTCCTGGAAACTTACTCTTTCCCTGCTGATCCTTCTTCTTTAGCAAGAAAGCCAACTTATGGGTTGACTGATTTCAAATAATAATAATAATCTACATCCCATTCAAACTCTCATTGTCGTGACCTCCAACTGCTGCATGAGAGGGCAACAGTTTTTGAACCAAGATACTTTAAATGGGCTAACTTACAGAATGCTTCCAAAAATCAGGACCCTTACGTCTTGAGAAAATGAAATCTGGAGAAAGTTCTGGCTGCTTCAGAGCTACCGACTGCTGCTGCATTGCTGGCATGCTGCTGCTGCTGCAGTCACCGGATCTTCATTGTTTTGTGACAGTTTCCCAGTCAGTTTAGCAATCCCTTGCTTCCTGCCCCCACTCAACAGCAGCCACTGATCTGCCTGCTGAGAAGGGAAGGAAAAAGGAAGGAAGGAAGGCAGGCAAGAAGGCAGGAAGGAGGAAGGGAAGGAAAGGAAAGGAAAGGAAAAGAAGAGGGAGAGAGGGATGAAGGAAGGATGGAAGGAAGGAAAGGAGGAGGAAAGAAAGGGAAGGGAAGGGAAAGAAAAGAAGAGGGAGGGAGGGAGGATGGAAGGAAGGAAGGAAAGGAGGAGGAAAGGAAGGGAAGGGAAGGAAAGGAAAAGAAGAGGGAGAGAGGGAGGGAAGAAGGATGGAAGGAAGGAGGAAGGAAAGGAAGGGAAGGAAAGGAAAGGAAAAGAAGAGGGAGGAAGGAAGGAAGGAAGGAAGGAAGGAAGGAAGGAAGGAAGGAAGGAAGGAAGGAAGGAAGATTTCCAATGCTCCCTGCCACATTCCCACAAGAAAATTCAACGGGGAAGCCTGTAGGAAGCTGAACGGGGCACAGGTTATCTAGTAACAATTTAAAAAGCGAAGGATGCAGACATCAAACCTCATCCATCTGAAGCTTAAAACCAACTAAGTTTCAGTAATGCAACCGAGTCAATCGCTCGTGCATCAACCGAGTTGGTGAAGCCCCTTTGCAAACTCAATTAATGGCATTTTTTTCCCCCCACACAGATCACGGAATAAGAGCCAGAAGCTGGACCCCCAACAAACAGAGGGCCTCTTGGTCTTGCAGAAAGCCTGAAAACAAAAAAAAAATCACTGCTTGAGGAGAGAAAAACATTGTGTTCCCAGGACTTACAGAATACGGAACACAGGAAGATCCGTGAGGAACAGCGTCACACTTGGGAAAATTGCAGAAGTGACCACGGAGATGAAGGAGACCAATAATATTCTGGATTCGCAGAGAGAAAAAAATAGAATATTTGGAAGCTATTCTACTCTCTGTACATTCATTCTGTCTGATTTCTTTAAAAAAAAAAAAAAGCTGGATTCACTTGTTTGCAAAGCATGGACACATCCCCCCCCCCCAATATGCTAACCCAGGCCAAAATGGGCATGGCTATTACATAGTTTAACGTGTCGCAGGAACCAACCCATATCTCAGCCTGTTGTTGAACGAGGATTAACTTCTTAAATTTTTAAGAAAAGTCCATAAACGATGGTCGTTAGGTGGCAGTAGTGAGACACCAGAAAAATTAATTTTGACTTACACTGGATCGATGTTTCTCAACCTCGGTAACTTTAAGCTGTGTGGACTTCAACTCCCAGAATTCCTCAGCCCGCATGCTTTAAGACCACATGTGTGGACTACAATTCCCAGAAATAAACCTAGCTGGCTGGGGAATTCTGGGAGCTGAAGTCCACCCATCTCAAAGCATGCTGGCTGGGGAATTCTGGGAGCTGAAGTCCACCCATCTTAAACCAAGCTGGCTGGGGAATTCTGGGAGTTGAAGTCCACCCATCTTAAAGCATGCTGGCTGGGGGATTCTGGGAGTTGAAGTCCACCCATCTTAAAGCATGCTGGCTGAGGGATTCTGGGAGCTGAAGCCCACCCATCTTAAAATTACCATGGTTGAGCAACACTAATCCTAGATCAATCCAACCCAAATTATGGGCTTGTTTGTTTATTGCACACTTCGTACATATAGCCTGGTTTTCATTAACCCGGGCATGAGCTTAGCGTGTTTTGTGCACCCAACTCAAGGTATCTACCCTGGATAAAACATTCAGGGGCCCAACTCCTCTCTACAAAACGAATTAAAGTCCAGATTTGAACAACTGAGTGTGTCCACTTTCATTTTCTCTATCCGCCCTTCTGGATTCACACAATACGCTTCATCACGTCAACTAAATGCTGGGTGCACAACTCAATGCAGTGGGTCAGTTTAAATTTGAACTCATTGCCTCAATCGTTCATTTCATAACCTGGTTAAATGCAAATAAACCCAGTCTGGATAAACCCGACCCTTGGTCTGTCTGTTTGTAACTGATTGGTCCATTTCTGGATTCTGCCAATCGCTAAACTGGGTCTGTTTGAGGATTGGGGATCAGGTTTGAAAAACCCCAGCTACTTTGTCTCAGGCTGCAACAGTCGTAAGTGTGAAAAACGATCCTGGGGTCACTTTTTTCAATGCCGCTGTAAGTTAGAACGGTCACTAAATGAACACTTGCAACTGGAGGACTACCTCCACAAAGCTGTTGCAGCAAAGTTGTTCACACCCGAGCAGAAACCAGAGCCCTCTCCAATATTTTGGAAACCTGCTCCTCCCAGCTCGCCAACAAGTAGAATGGAAGCCCCGCCTCTCAATTTAAACATCTGCAATCTGGGTTAATTTTCTATCAACCCACACGTGACGTTTGCACACCACACTTCACCAGCATTGGCATAACTGAAGTGGGATTCATTTTAATAATAATAATAATAAAGTTGGAAGGGACCTTGGAGGCCATCTAGTCCAACCCCCTGCTCAGGCAGGAAACCCTACACCATTTCGGACAAATGGCTGTCCAGTCTCTTCTTAAAAACTTCCAGTGTTGGAGCATTCACCGTTTCTGGAGGCAGGTTATTCCGCTGGTTAATTGTTCTCACTGTCAGGAAGTTTCTCCTTAGTTCTAGGTTGCTTCTCTCCTTGATTTTAACTCGGGTTAGTGACGGTGTGCCGTGTTGTGTCGTCAAACGCCCTTAGATAATTGGGGGTCCAAGTAGCTGGTACACATCCACAAAATGAATATGAATAGAATACTGGAGTTGGAAGGGACCTTGTGAGTCATCTTGTCCAGAGGCCCCCAACCTTTTGGGCACCAGGGACCGGTTCCGTGGGGAAAGGTTTTTCCGCGGACTGGAGGGTGTGTGGTTTTGTGTGCTGCCTGCATCCCGCGGATGGGGCTTTGCTTGTTTGTGTGGACCGGTCGCTGGCATGCCGCGGCCTGGTACTGATCCATGGACCGGGGGTTGGGGACCCCTGGTCTAGTCCAAGCAGGAGACCCTACACCATTTCTGACAGATGGCAGTCCAGTCTCTTCTTGAAAGCTTCCAGTGATGAAACTCCCACATCTTCTGAAGGCAACTTCAGTTCCAGTGGTTGATTGTTCTCCCTGCCAGAAAATTTCTCCTTAATTCCAGGCTGAATCTCTCCTTGATCAGTTTCCATCCATTGTTCCCTGTCTGGCCTTCAGGTGCTTTGACCCCCCCCCCTTCTTTGTGGCAGCCCCTCAAATATTGGAACACCGCTATCATGTCACCCCGGTCTTTCTTTTCATTAAACTAGACATGCCCAATTCCAGCAACCGTTCTTTATAAGAATGGTCGCTAAACAAGGAGTCGTAAGTGCATTAGTATTTATAACTCTGGCTTCCCACCCTAACGTCGGATGAGTTCTCGCCTTCTTCTCCCTTGCATTAATACCACCTTCTTCCAAACTTGGAGGAGAAAAGGCTGAGTCTTAATTTTCCTCCCTGCCCTAACCAGCGATCCGCAGAATCAGCCATTCGTTCCCCTTGAGCAGTTGAGACCATGCCAGCTGGGTGAAGCTTCACCGCGCTTGGTCATTGCGCTTGAACCTCCAGCCAGCTCTTGGCTGATCTGCTTGTCCGACCGTCGGTTGCCAGCGGTGCCACCTTGCTGAGAGGGCACCGGACCTTTGCCCACGATGACCGGGAAAGCGAATAATCAACCAGTTCTGTGGAATTGGGATCCCACCCAAATTTTCACAGGTGCCCTCCAGAGAGGGCATGGGTTGGTTTCAGACTTGAAGGATTGATGGTGGCTTGTCATTGGAGAAAGCCAAGCTGGAAACGGCTCAACCCACCGCTCTGGGCTGGTCAAGCTCTTGTCCTATAAAACATCCTTGAATTTCAGCAAGTAGAATAGAATAGAATAGAATAGAATAGAATAGAATAGAATAGAATAGAATAGAATAGAAAGGGACCTTGGAGGTCTTCTAGTCCAGTCCCCTGCTCAAGCAGGAGAACCTACACCATCTCGGACAGGTGATTGTCTTGTCTCTTTTTAAAAACCTCCAGTGATGGAGCGCCCACGATTCTTGGTGGCATGCTGTTCCACTGGTTAATTGTCCTCGCTGTTAGGAAGTTTCTCCTTAATTCTAGGTTGCTTCTCTCTTTGGTCAGTTTCCAACCATCGTTTCTTCTCCTGCCCTCTGGTGCTTTGGAGAATAATTTGACCCCCTCTTTTTTGTGGCAGCCCCTCAAATACTGGAACGCTGCTATCATGTCTCCCTTATTTCTTCTTTTTTTTTATTCACTGGCCAAACCCCAAGTCCCGTAGCCGTTCTTCGTATGTTTTGGTCTCCAGGCCTTGGATCACCTTAGTTGCTCTTCTCTGAATTTTTTCCAAACTCTCAACCTCTTTTTTGTGATATGGTGACCAAAATTGGCTGCAGTATTCCAGGTGTGGTCTTAGAAAGTAGACAATCAAGAAGGTTGGGGTGGGGAGAGAAACCTGGGACATCCGTGATCAGAGGCAGATGGAATAGCAGACCAGACCTTCCTCACCTGAAAGCTGGATTTTCAGAAAATAGTCCTGTCCTTATGAATTATTATAGCCACATTACAGGTAGTTCTCGACTTACAACCATCCATTTAGTAACTGTTCAAAGTTACAACAGCACTGCAGAAAGTGCTGTTTACACTTTCCCACATTTACACTTTCCCACAGTCCCCACATTTACAACCAATCTCTGTCTGTCTGTCTGTCTGTCTGTCTGTCTGTCTGTCTGTCTCATCGGTCATCTCGCTCTCTCTCCATTGTTTCTGTCTTTCTGTCTATCTATCATCTCTATCTGTCTGTCCTATCTATCTATCTATCTATCTATCTATCTATCTATCTATCTATCTATCTATCTATCTATCTATCTATCTATCTAATCCATGTCTATCTATCATCTATCTTATCTATCTATCCCTCCCTCCCTCCACCTACCATCTATCTATCTATCTATCTATCTATCTATCTATCTATCTATCTATCTATCTATCTATCTATCTATCTATCTATCTATCATATCCATGTCTATCTATCATCTATCTTATCTATCTATCCCTCCCTCCCTCCACCTACCATCTATCTATCTATCTATCTATCTATCTATCTATCTATCTATCTATCTATCTATCTATCTATCTATCTATCTATCTATCTATCTATTCTCTCATCTATTCCCCCCCTTCTCATTTTATTACTTTACTTTGCTTCACTTCAATTCACTTCACTGGAAAAAGTTGCCAAATCTGTCAAGTTTCAAACCTGCACTGAACTCAGTTTATACAATCATACTTTGAAGTGTTGCTTGCACAAAAGTGGAAAATTAAACTAGCTTATCTTAATGGTGACATTAACTAAGTGCTTCTGAAATTAAAAGATCCACTTTTCCCCAGCATGGCGGGCAATGTAACTGATTAAAAATGGGGGGGGGGAGGTGTCAGGGAACTCCCAGAATTCCCCAGTCAGTATGCTTTAAGGAGTCTGGACTTCAACACCCAGAATTCCTCAGGCAGCATGCTTTTAAAATGGGTGGACTTCGATTCCCAGAATTCCTCAGCCAGCGTCCTTTAAGACGAGTGCAATTCTGGGAGTTGAGGTCCAGCCATCTTAACGTTACCAAGCTTGAGAAGCGCTTCTTTAAACACTATTTTTTAACAAAAATTGCCCCCTAAAGAACAGGCATGCACCCTATGAGGGCATCGGTTATGGACGGACAAGTGTCGCACCATTTTAAAAGAGCGGAAAGAAACACTTTTCTGGATTTTTAATGCTCTATAGCAGGGGTAGGCAACCTTGGCCCCTTCATGACTCGTGGACTTCAACTCCTAGAATTCCTGAGCCAGCACGGCTCAGCTTGGAAACCTCTCCCTTTCCCCTCAGCATGGCTGGCTCAGGAATTCTGGGAGTTGAAGTCCATGAGTCATGAGGGGGCCAAAGTTTCCCTCATGCTGGCTCAGGAATTCTGGGAGTTGAAGTCCACGAGTCATGAAGGGGCCAAAGTTTCCCTCATGCTGGCTCAGGAATTCTGGGAGTTGAAGTCCACAAGTCATGAAGGGGCCATAGTTTCCCTCATGCTGGCTCAGGAATTCTGGGAGTTGAAGTCCACGAATCATAAAAGAGCCAAGGTTGCCTACCCCTGCTCTATAGCTTGGCCACTTTTCCACAGAAGCACCTGGATTTCCCCACAAGGAGCTGGGATCGGCAAAATAAAATCTGGTGGAGGGAGGGGATAAAGAGGGCTGCCCCGTTGGGGGTTTCTTTGAGGAAAAATGCAGCCAGTGTTCGGTGACTCTCAAGCCACCCGCCATTTTGTCCATCCCTGCCCAATGACGCATTCTTAAGTTCATTTTCCAGGTCACTTGTTTCTTGATCCATTCGCAACCTCTTTGCTATCCAGGCCGCTGGGGAGGAAATTTTCCCTTGCAGTAACATTTTAACTAGCCCGGCCGAAGTTTGATATAAAGCTGGATGGGCCTCATCCCAGAGAGTAGTGCCGACAGGGTATTTGTTGGGGAAACAGCAGAAGACCTGGAGAACTGAGATTGCCAAACTGCAGAAAATATTCGACGGGCTCCATCTGCTTTGCCAAACTGCAAGATTATAAATTTCACAAAACCGACGCCACCGTCTCTCGTCTCTCCGCGACGCCATGACTTTTGCTGACATTTTGGACAATGTAGGAGGAATGGGCCGTTTTCAAAGGATGATGGTCACCTTCCTGGCCATCCCTCTCTTGATGCTGGCCAGTCAGAACCTCCTGCAAAACTTCACAGCCGGCATCCCGCAGCATCACTGCCAAATTCGCATCGCCTCCAATGCCACTCGTCACGGCAACGGCACCGTGGGAAATTTGGGAGCCGATCAGCTCCTGAGGGTCTCCATCCCGACGGACACGAACCGACAGCCTGAGCAATGCCGGCGTTTCGTGGCCCCGCAGTGGCGGTTCCTGGACCCGAATGCGAGTCTTGGCAACCAGACTGTATTTGACACCGAAGCGTGTGAGGATGGTTGGACTTACGACAGGAGCTTGTTCAGCAACACGATTGTCAGTGAGGTGAGAAAGAAACTTTTTTTTTTTTTCGATTTTAAAGGGATGAGAAAAGTTTAAATGTCCCCAGACTGGCATTTTCTAGAGTAGTGTTTAGAAACTTTAAGATGGGTGGACTTCCACTCCCAGAATTCCCCAGCCAGCATGCTTTAAGGTGTGTGGATTGAATTCCCAGAATTCCCCAGCCAGCATGCTTCAAGATGGGTGGACTTCAACTCCCAGAATCCCCCAGCCAGCATTGCAATGATTAGGTGTGACTTGAGATCCGCAAAAATTCTCAATGGTTTTCCTTTTCTCTGCCCTGAAATCTTCCCTCCCCAATTATTTTCCAGTGGAATCTAGTGTGCGAATCTCGGTCACTGAGGCAAATGGCTCAATCCCTTTACATGGCTGGCGTATTGATTGGATCGCTCCTGATTGGGAATCTCTCAGACAGGTGAGCAGGGAGAGGCAGCGTGGTGCAGGGGTTAGTGTTCTGGGCCAGGAATGGGCATAATGGTGTGTGCAGAAGACCTTGGGAGATGGGGTGAAGAGATGCTGACCAAGAGAAAGATCAGATAAGAGGCAGCTGAGCCCTCAGCGGCATAATGGATGCAGAAAGAGGGTCAGAAGGGACCCTCCCTAGTTTCTCAGGCTGTAAAGTGGGGTAGAATCTAGATCTATGGGAAGAATAGAAGAATAGAATAGAATAGAATAGAATAGAATAGAATAGAATAGAATAGAATAGAATAGAATAGAATAGAATAAGAAATGGAACAGAACAGAACAGAACAGGATAGAATAAGAAATGGAACAGAACAGAACAGAATGGAATAAGAAATAGAATAGAATAGAATAGAATAGAATTAGAAAATATAGAATAGAATAGAATAGAATAGAATAGAATAGAATAGAATAGAATAGAATAGAATAGAACAGGAAATGGAACAGAATAGAACAAGAAATAGAATAGGATAGAATAGAAATAGGAAATATGGAATAGAATAGAATAGAATAATGAATAGAATAGAATAGAATAGAATAGAATAGAATAGGAATAGAATAGAATAGAATAGAATAGAATAGAATAGAATAGAATAGAATAGAGCTGGAAGGGACAGAAATTGACGTTAAGTCAGTAACCCGGTTGTTAAGTGAATCCGGCTTCCCCATTGACTTTGCTTGTCCGACGGTCGCAAAAGGGGATCACGTGACCCCGGGACACGGCAACCTGTCATAAATACGAGTCAGTTGCCAAGCATCTGAATTCTGATCACGTGACCCCGGGGGATGCTGCAACGGTCGTAAGTGTGAAAAACGGCCATAAGTCCCCTTTTTTGGAGTGCCGTTGTAACTTTGAACGGTCACTAAATGAACTTTTGTAAGTCGAGGACCACCTGAAAAAAGTCAAAATCTCCGGTCGCAGGTCGAAACTTGACTAATGTCTGTTTCTTACAGGTTTGGCAGGAAATCCCTGATCATTTGGTGCTACCTGCAGATGGGCGTGGCCGGAGCTGGCACCGCCTTTGTGCCCAACTTCTCCATTTACTGCGTCCTCCGTTTCCTGTGCGGCATGGCGATGTCGGGCATCTCTCTCAACTCCGTTTCTCTCTGTGAGTCTCGGGCGTCTCTTTTTCTCTCTCTCTCTTGCCCCCCCCAGGCAAAGCCCCCCAAATCTTTTGCTTGTCTTGTTTTCCAAAATGCGTTTTTCCTTTTCCCTTCCTCAATCAGCAGCTCTCAATCTTTTGGGGGGGGGGATCCGAAGCAGAATATTCAATGCAGCCGTTATTCTGTGGCACACCAGAAAATTATTCACAACACACACACACACACACACACACACATGTTGTTGTTTTTTAAAAAGTGTAAGACATGGTTTGAGGGGAAGTTATACATTTTTTAAAAAAAACACTGCTTTGTATTGAATATAGAGGTTATATGATAGATAGATAGATAGACAGACAGACAGACAGACAGACAGACAGACAGATAGATAGATAGATAGATAGATAGATAGATATAGGTAGGGAGAGAGAGAGATGATAGATAGATAAATAGATAGACGATAGAGATAGATAGATGATGAGAAAGAGAAAGAGAGAGGGAGGGAGGGAGGGAGAGAGAGAGAGGTAGATAAATGAATAGATAGATAGATAGATAGATAGAGAAAGAGATATAGAGATAGATAGATACCTGTAGTATTTTATGTTGTGTCTTTTTTTACAGGCATGGAATGGATTCCCAGCAAATACCGGGCCATCGTTGGCACAATCAATGGCTACAGCTACACAACTGGGCAGTTCATCCTGGCTGGCATGGCGTACCTCATCCGGGACTGGCGCTGGCTGCAGCTGGCCGTCTCCCTCCCTTACTTTGTCTTCTTCCTCTATTCCTGGTAGGTGGGCAAAGTAAGAAAAAAAAAAGAAAGAAAGAAATATTCTATTTTCCTCACTGGAATAGTTCTCCCTTAGGAATAATAATAATTATTGGAAGGGACCTTGGAGGTCATCAACCCTTGCTCAGGCAGGAAACCCTATCCCATTTCAGACAAGGGACCGTCCAGTCTCTTCTTAAAAACTTTAAAATATATATATATATCTTGACTGGGGTTTGTTTCCTGCAGGTTTTTCGTCGAATCTGCCCGCTGGCTGGCCATTTCGGGGAACCAGGAGAAGGCGGTGAAGGGGCTAAAGAAGGCTGCCTGGATCAACGGGAAGAAGGAAGAGGGGAATAAACTCAGCGTGGAGGTACGAGGCCGGATTGTCCCACCTGGACCCCTTTTGCAAAATGCAAAATAAAAACTGGGGAAATCAACGTATTTTCAAAGGCTGCCGGGTTATGGGTTTTTAGTGAGGTTGGCCCTGCGATGCAGAATCAAGAAGGGCAGAGCTGAATGGAACGGAACGGAACGGAACATTTTATTTGACCAAGTGTGATTAGACACACAAGGAATTTGTCTCTGGTGCAAAGCAACAAACATCATCTTCATTATAGTAATACCAATACTAATATTAATACTAATAATCGTCTGGAAGTTTAAATCTTAAATAATAATTATAATACCAATAAAAGAGGGAGTAGAGAAGATAATAAGAAGGATATTATATAATAATACGTCAGCCATACTACATGGGTTATTGGACATTACACAGCACTGTGAGAACTAGGGCTTCAGCAGAAGGATGGCCCGAGGGAAAAAACTGTCCTTGTGTCCAGTTGTCTTGACATACAATGCCTATAGTCCTCAACTTACAATAGGTCATTTAGTGACTGTTCTAAGTTACAATGGCAATGAAAAAAGTGACTTATGACTGTTTCCCATTATTTACGGCCCTAAGGCTCTATGACTCTATGATTCTATAATTCTATGATTCTGATTCTATCTTTATGATTCTACGATCCTGTGATCCTATGACTATGATTCGATGATTTGATGACTCTATGATTCTGACTGACTATATGACTGATTCTATCATTCTATGACTGTGACTGTGATTCTATCATTCTATGACTCTATGATTTGATGATTCTATGATTATGATTATGACTGACTATATGACTATGATTCTGACTATAATTCTAAGATTATGATTCTATGACTATGACTATGATTCAATGATTCTATGATTATGATTATGACTGACTATATGACTATGACTCTGATTCTATGACTATATGACTATGATTCGATCATTCTATGACTATGATTCTGAGTGTATGACTATGAATCTATGATTCTATCATTCTATGACTCTATCACTATCATTCTATGCTTTTATGACTATATGATTCTATCATTCTATGACTATCATTCTATCATTCTATGACTCTATCATTCTATCATTCTATAATTCTATGACTCTATCATTCTATGACTCTATCACTATCATTCTATCATTCTATGACTATATGATTCTATCATTCTATGACTATATGATTCTATCATTCCATGACTATCATTCTATGACTATATGATTCTATCATTCTATGACTATATGATTCTATCATTCTATGACTCTATCATTCTATCATTCTACAATTCTATGACTCTATCATTCTATGTATATGATTCTATAATTCTATGACTCTATCATTCTATAATTCTATGACTCTATCATTCTATGAATCTATCACTATCATTCTATGATTCTATGACTATGATTCTATCATTCTATGACTCTATCATTCTATGACTCTATCATTCTATCATTCTATGACTCTATCATTCTATGACTCTATGACTCTATCTGCTCTCTTGCACTCTGGAGGAAAGTTCCCCCAATAGTCAATAAAGGAGAAAGCCACAGAGGTATAATAGCATTCTTTGGGACGAACAATTTACCGATTCTCGTTCCAAGAATCGTTCCAAAGTTTTCCCCCAGTTCGCTTTGCTCCTTCAGGGATGGACCAAATCCTGCACTGACCCACGGGTTGGTCTTCTCCTTCTCTGCAGGTTTTGAAAGCCAGCATGCGGTCTGAGGGCTCTTCCACCAAATCCAGCCACAGTATGGCCGATCTGGTGAGGACGCCGGGCATGCGTAGAATCTCCTTCGGGGTCAGCTTTTTTTGGTAAGAGACGTTTCTCCCCTGCTCCCTGCTTTTCCCGGATCTGCGGCTTCTTTTCCTTCAAACCCGGTTATTGTACATTTGGAATGCTGGGCCCAGTTCTGGTCACCAAGAAAGAGAAAAGATGGCTGAGGTCCTAAAAAAGTGTGCAGAGAACAACAACAAAGATGTCTATGGAGATTGTCACTCATCCAGGTCACAGTTGTGCTTTTTCAGAACGCAACTGGATCCTGTTTTTCCAAAGTGCAGTTGCCGTTTGAAAAAGCACTTTTGGAACGACCACAGCGATGGGGACCGGACGCTAAATCGTACGATGCACAGTTGAGGGAGTTAGATATGTCCAGCCTATTGAAGAGAAGAATTGGGCAACGTGATATAGCTGTCTTTCAATATTTGAGGGGCTGTCACAGAGAAGAGGGGGGTCAAGCTGTTCTCCAAAGCACCAGAAGGCAGGACAAGAAACAAGGGATGGAAACTGATCAAGGAGAGAAGCAACCTGGAACTAAGAAGGAATTTCCTAACAGGGAGAACAATTAATCAGTGGAACTACCTGCCTCCTGAAGTTATGGGTGCTCCATCACTGGACGTTTTTAAGAAGAAATTGTGCAGCCACTGGACTGGGATGGTTTAAGGTCTCCTGCCTTGAGCGAGGTTGGACTAGAAGACCTCTGAGGTCCCTTTCATGCCTAGGATTCTATGATCCCTAGGGAAAAAAGGGTCCAGAGTTTTTCCAGAAAATAATGGCTTTTGGGGTGTGTGTCAAGCTATCCAATTCTCTCCTCCCATTCTAGGTTTGCCACCAGCTTTGCTTATTATGGGCTGGCCATGGACCTGCAGAATTTCAATTTCAACATCTATCTGGCCCAGCTGGTGTTTGGGGTGGTCGACATTCCCTCCAAATTCATCTCGGTGCTCACCATCATGTATGTGGGCCGACGGTTCTCCCAAGCGCTCTCGCTGATCATGGCTGGACTGTGCATCTTGGCTAACATCTTTGTTCCGCACGGTAAGGGTACCACCAGGAGTAGACAGGACTGTGGAATTGCTTCCGTCTCTTGCAGGGGGTCCTCAACTTACAACAGTTCATTTAGCGAGCATTCAAAGTTACAATCACCCTGAAAAAAAGGGGACTTACACCTGGTCCTCGCACTTATGACCGTCGCAGCATCCTCATAAATACATGATCAAAATTCAGGCCCTTAGCAACGTTGGGTACTGATGACGGTTGCAGGATCCTGGAGTTGTGTGATCTCCATTTGTGACCATCCCAGCTGGCTTCCGCTAAGCTAAGTCAATGGGGGAAGCTGGATTCACTTAACCACGTGGTTCACTTAACAACCCCATGGTTCACTTAACAACCGCTAGATTCACTTAACCTGAAAGCAAAGTAGAAATTTTATCCCTTATTGTGACTTTATCTTTTTTAGATTTGAGCACTCTGAGGATGATATTTGCTGTAATTGGCAAGGGATCTTTGGCGGCTTCGTTTAATTGTGCCTACATCTTTTCTGGAGAACTTTTCCCAACTATAATCAGGTGAGTGAAGCAGAGGGAGTCAAGCTATTCTCCAAAGTGCCGGAAGGCAGGACAAGAAGCAACGGAAGGAGAGAAGCAACCTAGAACTAAGGAGAAACTTCCTGACAGTTAGAACAATTAACCAGTGGAACAACCTGCCTCCAGAAGCAGTGAATGCTCCAGCACTGGAGGTTTTTAAGAACAGACTGGACAGCCATTTGTCCGTAATGGTACTATAGGGTTTCCTGCCTGAGCTGGGAGTTGGACTGGATGACCTCCAAGGTCCCTTCCAACTTTATTATTATTATTATTATTATTATTATTATTATTATTATTATTAAGAACAAGAAAGTCCAGTGGCCTCCGGAAAAAAGCACCTTTGGGATAAGAAGCTGGTCCCGATTCAAAGTAGCAAGGAGGGTTGACATGGTTTTTTTTTTCTCCCTCAAAGACAATCTGGAATGGGTCTGGGGGGCACCATGGCTCGGATTGGGAGCATGGCCGCCCCCTTGGTGAGGATGAGCGGGGAGTTTTTCCCACCGCTGCCCCTGATCATCTACGGCACGGCCCCCATCGTGTCTGGCCTCGTCACCTGCTTCCTCCCGGAGACCCTGAACAGACCGCTGCCGGAGACGATCGAAGAAGTCGAAAGACGGTGGGTACCGAACGGGTTTCTCCCACCTCGTCTTTTCTTCCTTCCTTCTTTCCTTCCTTCCTTCCGTCTTTTCTTCCTCCCTTCCTTCCCTCCCTCCCTTGTCTTTTCTTCCTTCCTTCTTTCCTTCCTTCTTTCCTTCCTCCCTTCCTTCCCTCCCTCGTCTTTTCTTCCTTCCTTCCTTCCGTCTTTTCTTCCTCCATTCCTTCCCTCCGTCTTTTCTTCCTTCCTTCTTTCCTTCCGTCCATCTTTTTTTCCTCCCTTCCTTCCCTCCCTCGTCTTTTCTTCCTTCCTTCTTTCCTTCTTTCCTTCCCTCCCTCGTCTTTTCTTCCTCCCTTCCTTCCCTCTCTCGTCTTTCCTTCCTTCCTTCCTTCCTTCCTTCCTTCCTCCCTCCCTCCCTTGTCTTTTCTTCCTTCCTTCTTTCCTGCCATCCCTTCCTCTCCTCCCTCCCTACTTCCTTCCTTCCTTCCCCTTCCTCCCTCTCCCCTCCCTCCCTCCCTCCCTCCCTTTCTTTCTTCCGTTTCTCTTCTTCTTCGCCTTTCTCCCTATCTAACAACATCTCTTTCAGACTCTGTATGTAACACATGCCTCCAACAGAGGGCTGCCACTAAGGGGATGCTGGGTTTGGTTGATCCTAGCACTATAGCTTGGGAAGGGACCTCCGAGGTCCTCTAGTCCAACCCCTGCTTGGTACCCAGTTCTGCTAAAGCATTCCCAACCTCTTCTCGAAGATGGGCATATATCCCAAGGCCGTTGTTGGCGAACAACTCTCGGCACCAGGAAATGTCTCCTAATGTCTAATCTGAGTCTACCTCCCAACGTCCATTTTAACCAGTATTTTTCACCATTGCCAACCTGAAGAGGTGTGGACTTCAACTCCCAGAGTTCCCCAGCAGCCGTGGGAGTTATAGTCCGCACCTCTTTCAGCTGCCAAAGTTGAGAAGCACTGATTTAGACCACTGCCCCAGGAAGTGATATACGCCCGTCTTCAGGAAGAGGTTGGGAATGCTTTAGCAGAATCTCTGTCCCAAGCAGGGGTCAGACTGGAGGACCTCTGAGGTCCCTTCCCAATCTGCAGGGCACATTCACAGATGAAGACAGTTTAAACCTATTTCTACAAGGTTATTGTATCTCGGGCAGGGATTGTTTGGCCAAATCTAGCCTAGCGAAGCCTTCTCCATCCAGATGTTTCGGCCGATCCACATATATATTGGTCCTCAGCCCCAGAACCAGAAGACATGGTTGATCTCATTCAATAGCCAGATGTGGTCTGTGATTCTCAATGGGAGCTTCATCCTAGGAGAAGATGGGTGGGCTTCAGCTCCCAGAATCCATAGATCTTCAAGTGACCAAGGTTGAGAAACGTGGTGTTAGCCCCGATTATCTTTGATGGCTTCTCCTTCTATGAATTCTCTCTCTCCCTCCTTTTCTTCTCAAGATCCAAACCCAACGAAGAAGACGAGCTGCAAATGAAAGTTCTCCTGTCCTCGGAAAAGTCTGAGTTCAAAGACCAACGCTAAGAGGCAAAAAAGCAGACCCTCCTCGTCAACCCCCATCACCATCACCTTAGCATCCTACTCCAGCTCTAGGACCCTCTTTTTTCCGGGACACCTCAAACGGGTTTGCAACGAAGCCTTCATCAGAAGAAACCACTGAACGGGGAGACGGGTTGGACGTGAAACTGTTGAATGACATTGTAGAAAGTCCAAACTTAGAAACACAATCTGTTGTGCGCCAGAGGAGAAAACTATGGCCAACATCTGCCGATTATAAACGAATATCCTTCTGCGGTCTTTTTTAATGGTTTTTCCCCCCCTATTTAAACGAGACTCGATTGATATATCCGGGTCTCGTAGGCCTGCAAAGCGAGACCCGTTATCCCTATATCAAAACACGAGGAGGCCTTATCTGAAAATGCTGGACTGTAGATGTAGAAATAAACTTAGAAATGAGAAATTTTCCGACAGCGAGAACAATCAGCCAGTGGAACAACCCGCCTCTGGAAGTTTTTAAGAAGAGACTGGACAGCCACTTGTCAGAAACGGTCTCCTGCTTGAGCAGGGGGTTGGACTAGATGACCCACAAGGTCCCTTCCCACTCTGTCATTCTGTAAACCGGCCGGCTGCGCTGTGATATGATTTCACCAATGATATAACTTGGTTTGCGGCCTAGCAAGGATCCGTTTCACACACGTCCACGAGCACAGAATGTAAACTTGCTTTGTTGTCCCGGGCGAGCAAATTTTGCTGGCCATGTTTACGTCGCTTCTATTACAACGAGAGTCACTTTTTTTTTTTTTTAAATCCCTTTCTGTGGGTCCCAGCCAGCATTACAAAATGGCTGGGTTCACGGAATACACTCGGTTACGGATTCACACAATCCGGTGAATCATAAATGGACCCAAAACCTGACACACACACACCCCAATCTAAGCCCCACCTGCGCACAGGTGAACAAGTTTTGTTCAACTAGCCGAGGGGAGCACTTTGAGCCATAGAGATTGGTCAGTTTTTCACTGACCCGGTCCAGCGTTTGTGTGAATCCAGCCAACCTGCATATTGGGTTGACCTGAAACAAGACAAGGATTAGATCAGCAATAGGCAAGGGGTGACTGGAAACCCCTTACAGAGTTTTTGGGTGAAAATGGGGGGAAAATTGAATGTGTGATTGATGGCTTTGATGATTAGACAGGCTAGTTTATAGAAAGAAGAGAATCAGGAAGTCACTTTAAAGAAGTCAATTTATAATTGTATTTATAACTGCTACGAAGAATATTGGAACTGCTGTGAAGAATATTTATATCTTTTTTTATTTCTCTCCTGTTTTTCTCTTATTTTTTTCCCTTTCTTGTGCTTTCAGCTTCCTCTTTGAGTTCTTTCTTTTCTGTTTTGCTTTGACCATTTTTCCTTTTTTTTCCTGCAGTTTTGCAGTTCTCTGATTTTTTTTCCTTTTCTTTCTTTCTTACACTTTCAGCTTTCTATTTGATTTCTTTTTCCTATTTGGCTTTTCCTTTCTCGCACTTCTGTCTTTCCTCTTTGACTTTGTTCTTTTCTATTTTTTTCTTAACTTTATATTAGTTTGTAATAGTTTTTATCCTTCTCTTTAAAAGTATAATAAACATTATATATTTAAAAAAAAATCAGCAAAGCACAGTTAGGGAATCTGCCAACAACGGGCACGGTGTTTGTGATGCCTACTTTTGAATTTTCCATATATAGTACAATAGCAGTCTGTATTTTATTTTATTTTTTTGCACTTATATTCTGCTTTTGAATTTTGCATATATAGGAAAACAGTAGTCTGTATTTTGGTTTTTTGCACTTATATTCTGCCACCGGGCATCACGTTTACAATTTTCTCTCTGTCTGTCTTTATTTGTGAACATCGGCTGACATTTCAGGCACAGGATGCCTTAATAAATTTACTACAACATGTATGATGTGGTACTTAATAAATTTACATACAGCGTGTATGATGTGGTACTTACATTATTTGCTAAAAATTGAGCCTCTTGTCCTCTGTTTGAAATGGTCCCAGATATTGTTTGTTTGCTTTGTTTTTGTTGCTACGATATAAAAAAGATGTTGAGACTCTAGAAAGAGTGCAGAGAAGAGCAACGAAGATGATCAGGGGACTGGAGGCTAAAACATATAAAGAACGGTTGCTGGAATTGGGGATGTCTAGTTTAACAAAGAGAAGGACGAGGGGGGACATGATAGCAGTGATCCAGTATTTCAGGGGCTGCCCCAAAGAAGAGGGAGTCAAGCTATTCTCCAAAGCGCCTGAAGAGAGAACAAGAAGCAACGGATGGAAATTAATCAAGGAGAGAAGCAACCTGGAATTAAGGAGAAATTTCCTGACAGTTAGAACAATGAATCAGAGGAATGGTTTGGCTCCAGAAGTTAAAAACTGGAAGTTTTAAAGAAGAGACTGGACAGCCATTTGTCTGGAATGGGATAGGATCTCCTGCTCGAGCAGAGAGTTGGACTAGAAGACCTCCAAGGTCCCTTCCAACTCCGTTATTCTGTTAGAATTAAGGAGGAATTTCCTGGCGGTAAAACAGTTAATCAGTGCTCCATCATTGGAAGTTTTCCAAAATAGACTGGGTGGTATAAAGTCTCCTGCTTGAGTGAGGGGTTGGACTAGAAGACCTCCCAGGTCTCTTCCAGATCTGTGTTTCTGCCTTTGACTTTGCTGTTCTTAGTGGCTGTTCCAGAAGCAGCCGATTTAACAATGCCAAGTTGCAGAGAGATTACAGTATTTTTAAGATTTTTTTCCTTCTTAACTGGGCTGGCCACAGGCTGAGTTTGGCTCTCCCTGCGCAAACAAGAGAATTATATAACGCCGAATTCTAGTTTTGGGAAAGGTTGATTCTAATCACTGTTAAGCTAAGCTTGCCAAGTCCTTGCTAAGCCATTTCAGTGGGAAGGGGGGAGGTCAGCCCTGTTCCGCTTCTAATTGTCGGTTCAATTGCAGCCGTTGTTTTGATTCAGAAGGTGACATTTTTCCATCAACTAACTGGCTGCCATTGTCTGACGTTCAAAGTGACGGGGCTTTTAAAACACAGCCTTTGCCAAAGTAGTCCACATCAAACCTCATTCATTCATTCATTCATTCATTCATTCATTCATTCATTCATTCGTTTCCCACCTTTATCATTTTCAAAAATAACTCAAGGTGACGAACATACGTGATACTCCTTTCTCCTCTATTTTCCCACAACAAGCACCCTGTTGCTGAGCTGAGTGATTGGCCCAAAGTCACCCAGCTGGCTTTCATGTCTAACGTGGGACTAGAACTCACCGTCTCCTGGTGATTGGCCCAAAGTCACCCAGTCCGCTTTCATAACTAAGGAGGGGCTAGAATTCACCGCCTCCTGGCGATTTGCCCAAAATCACCTAGCTGACTTTCATGCCTAAAACAGGACTAGAACTCACCCTCTCCTGGTGATTGGCCCAGAGTCACCCAGTGGGCTTTTATGCCTAAGGCGGGACTAGAACTCACCATCTCCTGGTGATTGGCCTAAAGTCACCCAGTCCGCTTTCATAACTAAGGAGGGTCTAGAACTCACCATCTCCTGGTGATTGGCCAGAGTCACCCAGCTGGCTTTCATGCCTAAGGCGGGACTAGAACTCCCCGTCTCCTGGTTTCTAGCCAAATCCAAAGACTTTGTGTTTCTCAAAGATTTAGTTTGGATAATCCCTTTTGAATCCAATACCTCAAACAGAGGACTCACACAACTCATTAAAGCCAGATTACCTCCCTAGCAAGCCCAGTTCCATTGACTGAGTTCTCCTAACACATCCAACCCCACCCACAAGCCATCTTCTGCTTCCCAGAAGAAGCCAAGAGTTAGATTTTCTACAGCAACACAACCCACAAACTTCTCAACCCCATTTTAATTCAGATGAGTTTGCTGGCTGAACGCAGCTGCAAAAAAAAAAAATTATTTCCGTTAATCGGCTCCTCTCCAGGCAAAGACACTAAATCAGGAGTGCTTTGGTAGCTGTGGGTGCCGGGAGTTCTAGTTTCACAACTCCCGGAGGACTACTTCCCACCTCCAAGAACAAATATTGTAGCTTGATCACAAAGGGATTGGGGGCCCGTCATTTTCAACTTTCTCTTTGCCCACTGCCAGCATACAGGTAGTCCTCGGCCATTTGGGGACCCGTTCGAAGTTACGACAGCACTGAAAAAAGTGATTTATGACTGGTATTCACACTATTACAGCCTCCCTATCAAAATTCAGGCGCTTGGCAACTGGCATGTATATAGGACAGTTGTGTTGACCCAGGATCAGGTGATGACCATTTAATAATAGTAAAGTTGGAAGGGACCTTGGAGGTCATCTAGTCCAACCCCCTGCTCAGGCAGGAAACCCTATACCATTTCGGACAAATGGCTGTCCAGTCTCTTCTTAAAAACCTCCAGTGTTGGAGCATTCACCACTTCTGGAGGCAAGGAGTTCCACTGGTTAATTATTCTAACTGTGAGGAAGTTTCTCCTTAGTTCTAGATTGCTTCTCTCCTTGATTAGTTTCCATCTGTTGCTTCTTGTCCGGCCTTCAGGTCCTTTGGAGAATAGCTTGACTCCCTCTTCTTTGGGGCAGCCCCTGAGATCCTGGAACACTGCTATTATGTCCCCCCTCCCCAATGGCTTCTGACAAGCCAAGTCAATGGGGGAAGCCAGACTTGTTTAATGACTGCATCATTCAATTAACAACTGCAGTGTTTTGCTTAACAACGGTGGCAAGCAAGGTCGTAAAATGAGGCAAGACTCACCAAACTTGCTTAGCAATGGAAATTTGGGGCTGAGTTATAGTCCTACCTAGACTTGCTTCCTTGGGCAGCTGTCTCTGAGCCCTGAATGCCAACGAATTAGAAGGGAAAAAAATCTGATTTTTTTTCCGACTGGGCCCCCGCCTGACCCTGCCGTTGCTATCTTGCCTACATTCCCGAGAAATAAGTCCCTTTTCTCCTCCTTTTCATCCCTCCCAAGCTACCTTGAAGAAAAGCAGCTAAAGCTGTTTTAATTCGGCAGGAGCTGATCCCCGGCCGAAAAGAATTCCCAAGGGCACCGAGCAAACGTTGCGACGCCAACTTCCTGCACCTCCGCTGCCCTGTTCATTCCTAGAGGTGGAGGGAGGCGAAAGGATCGGAGTGCAATCAAAACGCACCCCGGGACGACAAAAGTACAACACACAGCGGGCAGCGGCTGGATCTGTTTGCCCACCAGCAGGCGAAACGGGGCGTCTTCTCCAGCGACCGGTTTGCATTTCAACACGGGAGCAGATGGACACGCCAGGCGTCCGGCTGGCATTGCGTAACCCTTTGGACTACCTCTGCCACCTCCTCCGTCTTCCTTCGAGTCCTGCGAGTTAGCCAGGACGGGCATCTCCCCATCTGGCAAGCCGACGTGGCTTTCAACAGGGTCCCTTCCGTCGCCGGGGCGAGCATTTCTCTGTGTGCGTCGAGTCTACGTCCCGCCACGAAGCCCGCCATGCCCTTTGGTGACCTTCTGGCTCAAGCGGGCGGCCTGGGAAGATTTCAAGTGCTCAACGTGGCGCTGTTGTGTTTCCCGATGCTCCTGATGGCAGCCCACAACCTGTTGCAGAATTTTACGGCTGCCGTTCCCAGGCATCACTGCCGGGTGGCCTTGAACAAAGGATGCGCCGATGGGAACGCCACGGGAAATCCGGATTGCCGGGCGCTGCTGAGAGCGTTCATCCCCCAAGATGGGGACTGGGGGCCGGAGAAGTGTTGGCGCTTTGTCAACCCCCAATGGCGGCTGTTGGCGTTTAATTCAACGGGACGGGAGCCAACGGAGGCTGAGCAGGAGCCATGTCTGGACGGGTGGACCTACGAAGGGACGGTTTTTACATCCACCATCGTAACCGAGGTAAGAGGGACGCTCACGTACCGATCTGGTGGAGGATTGCTCGGTTCCTTCTTGATGGGATTCCACCTCCCATCTTTCCCAGGTGGGGTGCTGAGCACCGTAGAACATAGAATCAAAGGCTGGAAAGGACCTCAGAGGTCTTCTAGTCCAGCCCTCTGCTCCAGGCAGGAAACCTTATACCCTGGTTTGTTTGGTTGCCTGGTCTATTTTTGAAAAAACCCCAGCTCCAGGAAAACAGGGCGTCCTCAACATACGACCACAATCCCGCCCAACATTTCCACTGATAAGCAAGACAGTCGTTAAGTGAGTTTGGCCCCGTTTTATGAACTTTCCTGCCACGATTGTTAAGCGAATCACCGTCATTATTAAATTAGTAAAACGGTTGTAAAGTGAATCTGGCTTTCCTCATTGACTTTGCTTGCCGGAAGGTCGCAAAAGAGGGAATCACGTGACCTAAGTACCGGCCAGTTGCCAAGCCTTTGAATTTTGATCACGTGACTCTGGAGATGCTGCAACGGTTGTAAGGGTCAAAAACGGTCCTTTTCAGTAATATTGTAACCTCAAATGGTCACTAAAGAGATGGTTGTAAATTGATAACTACCTTTATAGGGGCTCCTGCTGGAGCAGAGGGCTGGACTAGAAGATCTCGAAGGTCCCTTCTAAGCCTGTTATTTTATCTTCTCTGCTCTCGTATCTTGGTATGAGGTTCTTCTGAGCTTCCCAGCTCCCTTTAGCCCTTCTCCCTCAGCTCAGTTTGGGGGCCAGCGTCCATCCGTGTTGTGGATTCTGGTATTTTCGTTCTTCTCCTCCTGCAGTGGGACCTGGTGTGCGATTTCCGGAGCCTCCAGCAGCTGGCGCAGTCTATCTACATGGCCGGTGTGCTGGTGGGTGCCATAGTCTTCGGAGGCCTCTCTGACAAGTAAGAAGTGGGTCTTTCTCCTTTCAAAAGAAACCAACTTCTGCTGACCATCATCGGAAGCTGGGTAGACGTCACAATGGACCCGTCAAACACCGATTCACAGTCTAATGCCACAGCCACGTCTTGCGGAAAGTAACTTTTTAAGCAAACTGTTTTGGTGACAAAAATATTGAGTGGCTTATATTCCTTATATATATGTATATTTTCATCTTTTTTCTTTATATATTTTTTTCGTAGCCTCGTGTTTATTTTATCAGCTGTGCATTTTGAAACTTTAATTAAAAAAAATTAGGATTTTAAAAAGGTGGGCCGGGGTCTTGAGGGGAGCTAACTCCGTACAGGTCCTCAACTTAAAAACACAACTCAGCCCAAACTTTCAGCGAGACGGTTGTTAAGTGAGCTTTGCCCCACTTTACGACCTTTGTTGCCACCGTTGTTAAGTGAATTGCCGCAGTTGTTAAGTTAGTAATGCAGCTGTTAAATGAGTCAGGATTTCCCGTTCAGTTTGTTTGTCGGAAAGGTCGCAAAAGGGGATCAGGTGACCCCAGGGCACTGCGACCGTCATAAATACGAGTCAGTTGCCGAGCGTCTGAACTTTGATCAGGTGACGTGGGAATGCTGCAACGGTCATAAGTGTGAGGACTGGTCCTATATAACTTTTTTTTCAGTGCTATTGTGACTTTGAATGGTCACTAAAGGAATCAACATACGTTGGGGACTATCTGTAATTCCTGCTGACCATCCGTCCTCCTACACACACAGACACACACACACAAGCCCGGTGCATGAAATTTTTACAGTCCCACCAACACCCAAGGATAATCTTTATTTTTATTTCTTGTAGATTCGGGCGGAAGGCTCTGCTTCTCTGGTCCTGTTTCCAGATGGCAGTTTCCGGATCCTGCACGGCATTTATTCCCACTTTCAGCGCTTATTGTGTCTTGCGCTTCCTCACCGGCATGGCCGTTTCCGGGGTTGGCCTCAACTGTGTGTCGCTGTGTAAGTTCTCTCCCACGGGAAGCTCCGAATCCGATTCTTCCTGCAATATGGCTGGCTGGGGGATTCTGGGAGTTGAGGTCCACCCATCTTAAAGCCAGGCGGCTGGAGGATTCTGGGAGTCGAAGTCCATCCCTCTTAAAGCATGCTGGCTAGGGAATTCTGGGAGTTGAAGTCCTCCCATCTTAAAGCATGCTGGTTGGGAGATTCTGAGAGTTGAATCCACCCATCTTAAAGCACGCTGGCTGGGGAATTCTGGGAGTTGAATCCACCCATCTTAAAGCATGCTGGTTGGGAGATTCTGAGAGTTGAATCCACCCATCTTAAAGCACGCTGGCTGGGGAATTCTGGGAGTTGAGGTCCACATATTTTAAAGTTGCCAAGCTTGAGGACCTCTGACATAGATCAATATTCTCTAGGCTGATCTGTCTCTAACTTGGTCCTTCAGGGTCTTCCCATGTGTCCCCATCACCCCTGTAACTCCAGCTTTCAACCGGTCATCCTTTCCTTCTATCTCCCCCCCCCCATCAGAGCTTCTCCAGAGACCTGGGTCCCTGCCCAATGTGTCCAAAATAGAGTCAATGTATCCCTGAATTCACAAATAATCTTCTTTTTCCAGCTGTGGAGTGGACGCCGATGCATTCCCGAGCCGCAGTCAGCATGGTGACCGGCTACAGCTACAGCCTTGGGCAATTCATCCTGGCAGGCATGGCGTACGCCATCCGGGACTGGCGTTGGCTTCAGCTGGCCGTCTCCCTCCCCTACTTTGCCTTTTTCCTCTATGGCTGGTAGGTAGTTTCCCACTCTTTGCAACCAAAGATGCTGTACAGCAGGAGCAGGCAATTCATTTTCCCAAGGAATCGGAATCAGAACAGAGCTGGAAGGGACCTTGGAGGTCTTCTAGTCCAGCTCCCTGCTCAAGCAGGAGACCCTATACCATTTCAGACAGATGGCTGTCCAGTCTCTTCTTAAAAACCTCCAGGGATGGAGCATCCACCACTTCTGGTGGCAAGCTGTTCCACTGGTTGATTGTCCTCACTGTCAGGAAGTTTCTCCTTAATTCCAGGTTGCTTCTCTCCTGGATTAGTTTCCATCCGTTGCCTTTGGGTGCTTTGGAAAATAGGTTGACCCCCCTCTTCTTTGTGGCAGCCCCTCAAATACTGGAACACGGCTATCATGGTGTGGAGGGCGAATCAAGAGGGCCTTGAAAGAGCCTGTGCACGCATACATGCAGTCCTCAACTTTCAGCCATTCATTTAGTGACCGTTCGAAGTTACAACGGCACTGAAAAAAGCGACTTATGCTTTTCATAGTGACGGCCGTGGCAGCGTCCCCCGTGGTCATGTGATCAAAAATCAGCCGCTTGGCAACTGGTTCATATTTATGACGGGTGAAGTGTCTCCCTTTGCGACCTTGTGACCCGCCAAGTGCAATGGGGAAGCCAGATTCACTTAACGACCGGGTTATTAATTTAAGAAATGCAGCGGTTCGCTTAACCCCTGTGGCAAGAGAGATCGTAAAATGGGGCGAAATTCACGGAACAGCTGCCTCACTTAGCAACGGAAACTTGGGGCTCCCTTGTAGTCATTAAGTCGAGGACTACCTGAATGTAAAATGGTAAAAAAATAAAATAGTGGTTGCCTTCGAAATAAAAGCAAACCCACCCGGCCTGGACGGGGACAGCCAAAGGACTGGATGTGGCTGGTATCTGCTCTACCACTTGGCAGTACGCTAGTCCTCAATACCGACCCAGGAGCCTGGACTGAAAGAGGGGAAAGCAGGACAGAATAAGAGAGGGTTGAGAAAGAGATCCATAAAATGGAAATTGTTAGAAGGTGGTGATCCAACATCCGGCATCCTCTTCCTCCTCAAATTTGCCGGCTTCCAATCCACTGCCCGTTTCTCTCTCACCCGTCTCCACCGTCCTCCCCTCTCTCCCTCTTTTGGGCAGGTGGTTCAGAGAATCTGCCCGCTGGTATGCCACGGCGGGCAAGCCCGACCGGGCGCTGAAAGAGCTTCAGAAGGTTGCTCGGATAAACGGGAAAAAGGATTGCCAGGAGAAGCTCAGTCTTGAGGTATACAATCCGAAAAGCAACGTGGCCATGTATTTTTCTTGGCAAGCATGTGATAAATGCCCTTCCTTCCTTCCTTCCTTCCTTCCTTCCTTCCTTCCTTCCTTCCTTCCTTCCTTCTCTTCTCCTCCCTCCTTCCCTCCATTCCTCCCATCCGTTATTCCTTCCCTCTCATTCTCAAATTTGGCAGCACCCAAAATAGCTTTTTTTGGTCCGCTTTTCCAGGTTTTAAAAGCCAGCCTCCGGACAGAGAACTCGGCAGCCAAAACCAAGTTCCCGGTGGCTGATTTGGTGCGCACGCCGTCCCTGCGCCGCATCACGGTGTGCCTTTGCTTCGTCTGGTAAGCAAGGGAGATGGAAGACGCCCCAAAAGAGAAACGGAACAAAAGCAAAGCAGAGATCTAGAACTCACAAACTCCTGGTGATCGGCCCAAAGTCACCCAGCTGGCTTTCATGCCTAAGGCAGGACTAGAACTCACCATCTCCTGGTGATCGGCCCAAAGTCACCCAGTTGGCTTTCATCCTAAGGCAGGACTAGAACTCACCATCTCCTGGTGACCGGCCCAAAGTCACCCAGTTGACTTTCATCCTAAGGCAGGACTAGAACTCACCATCTCCCGGTGTTCAGCCCAAAGTCACCGAACTGGCTTTCATGCGCAAGGCAGGACTAGACAGCACCAAAGGTATTTTAATTTCTTTAATCCGTTGGCCACTCCAGGTTCTCCACCAGCTTTGCCTATTATGGTCTGGCGATGGACCTGCAGAATTTTGGGGTCAGCGTCTACCTTATCCAGGTGATCTTCGGCGCGGTAGACATTCCTGCAAAATTGGTGGCTTTCCTTGTGATCTGCTATTCCGGCCGTCGGATCGCTCAGGCGTTGAGCCTCATCTTAGCTGGCCTGTCCATCGCGGGGAACATTTTTGTGTCCCGTGGTAAGTTTCCAGGCATGGTTTTATTTGTGCAAAGCAAAATTATTTTGCAGTTATCTTTTTTTTTTTTTTGAACCAAACTGGCTTGTAAATTCAAAATTTCTGGATGGGCAGAAAAAGCGTGGAACTTCCTGATGCTTGCTTTCTTTGTGGCTCTATGCCATCTTTCCATCAAGAAGTTCCTGCCCATGTTTGGGGTTTTATCTTCACAACAACCCTGTAAGGTAGGTCAGGCTGAGGAGTCACCAGCCTGGACTTGCTCGGTGGAATTTCGACGATACGTGCCTACTTCTAACCACTACTTCTGAATCAATGAAACATGGAAGGCTGCAAATGGCCTGGAATTATTGTGGCAAATATCCCAGCACGATTCACACACAACTTGTTCACCTGAAATCTCAAGTCACAAATCACAAAATAACTCTGGCTAGAATAGGAAGGCTGCAACGCACTTGAGGACCAGCGGAGGGCAGCCAAGGGACACAGGAAACTGGGTTTTGCTGCCATCTAGTCTCTGTCTACACATTTGCAGACCAAAAACTGAAAGCCATTAATATCAGGGGTGTCCAACCTTGGCAACTTTTAAGAGTTGTGGACTTCAACTCCCAAAATCCACAAGCCTTAACCCCTGAGATATACTATATTTCTAAAACCACTGATTTGTTTCGACAAATGTATATTATTCAACCATTATGTAGTTGCAACAGTGGCTTTGGGCACCTAATGTAGGATTAAAATTCAACATATTTGGATATGTGTCCGAATCAAGGAGACATATTCTGACTTTCTGGCTTGTGCTGATTAACCCACAGGACCTTCCAAAGTAACATAACTAGGGGGCTGAACTAGAACTCACGTCCTCCCAGTTTCTGATCTAGTACCTTCGCCATTAGACCAAAGTCACATCACAACAACACCCAGTGATTTTTCTAATCTTCTCTAGATATGCAGATCCTAAGGACCATCTTTGCTGTCTTTGGGAAAGGATGTCTGGGCGCCTCTTTCAGCTGTGTCTTCTTATACACTGGAGAACTCTACCCTACAGTGATCAGGTACCACTCGGTGATATTCTGGGATAACGTTAGAAACAGCCTCAAAGGTCTGTTTGCCTCTGAAGACACGGGAGGGTGACTTTTGTTGCAGCATACACGTGGGATTAAGGAGAGGGAAATCTCAGAATAACAGAATGGTAGATTTGGAAGGGACCTTGGAGGTCACCTAGTCCAACCCCCTGCTTGGGCAGGAGAGCCTATGCCATTTCAGACCAATGGCTGTCCAGTCTCTTCTTAAAAACTTCCAGTGATAAAGCGTCCACAATTTCTGGTGGCAAGCTGTTCCGCTGGTTGATTGTTCTCACCGTCAGGAAATTCCTCCTTCGTTCTAGGTTGCTTTTCTCCTTGATTAGTTTCCATCCGTTGCTTCTTGTGCTGCCTTCTGGTGGGTTTGGAAAATAGGTTAATCCCCTCATCTTCCTAGGAGCCCCTCAACTATTGGAAGACTGCCACCGTCCTTCTTTTCGTTAAACATCTGCGACATCCTCTCTCTCTCCCCCCCAAGCAAGCTGCAGGCAGTCCTCGACTTACGGCTGTTTGTTCAGGGCCCGTTTGAAGTTATGACGATGCCGCAAACAGCGACTTATGCCTGATCCTCGCGCTATAATTGCCTCAGTAGCCCTGTCATTCAGGCGCTTGGCAACCAGTTCGCACGACAATCCTGCAGTCACGCGACCTTCCCAGCCGGCTTCTCATAAGCAAGGTCAATGGAGAAGTCGGCCATGGAAGGTCACCGGATGTCCCACTTAACGGCCGTGCCACTGAGCCATCAATTTTCCAGTCTTCTCTTGCGACCGTAAGTCGAGGACTCGCTGCATACTATAACTCCCAAGTGCCCAGGCTAGGTGCAAGGAATATTGGGAGTTGTAGTTCGGCCACGCCCGCCCTGGAGAATGACGAGCCTGAGTCAAATTTAATTCTTCCCTCCGTTGCGTTATCAGGCAAACCGGGATGGGCTTTGGCAACACCATGGCGCGTGTCGGGGGGATTGTGGCCCCTCTGGTGAGGATGACCAGCGAGTATTTTCCGTCCTTTCCCCTTGTCATCTATGCCACGGCCCCCATCATCTCCGGCCTGGCGGCCTGTTTCCTGCCCGAGACTTTAAATGTGCCTCTTCCAGACACCATACAAGACGTAGAGGGCAGGTCAGTGGCAATGAGACTTTTGCTGTTTTGGTTTTGGTGGGAGGGGAGGGGGAACTAGAAGGAGCCGGTTGGCATCCAGTGTTATCGAAAGCCCCATTTTGGAATCGATAATGCGGGATCAATCGCCTCGATTTAGTTCGGCGTTTCTCAACCTCGGCAAGGTTAGTTTGCGTTTTTCTTGGCGAGATCTTTCCAAAAGGGTTTGCCGTTGCCTCTTTCCTAGGGCTGAGAGCATGTGACTGGCCCCGGGTCAAGCAGCTGGCTTTCGTGCCTAAGGCGGGACTAGAACGCCCAGCCGCCTGGTGATTGGTCCAAAGTCATCCAGCTGGCTTTGATGCCTAAGGCGGGACTAGAACTCACCGCCTCCTGGTGATTTGTTCAAAGTCATCCAGCTGGCTTTCATGCCTAAAGCGGGACTAGAACTCAACGTCTCCTGGTGATTGGCCCAAAGTCACCCAGCTGTCTTTCATGCCTAAGGCGGGACTAGAATTCACCGCCTCCTGGTGATTGGCCCAAAGTCACCCAGCTGTCTTTCATGCCTAAGGTGGGACTAGAACTCACAATCCTCTGGTTTCCAGCCTAGTGTCTTGACCACTACCTTTCAATATTTTGTGTTTCTCTGTCAGAAGGATCCCTTAAACCGCTCCATTTGACGATCCCCTGCGTTTAAATTCTTCTTCCCCTTTTAATAAAACCCGACTGTTGACGTGATTGCCGACAGAGCTGTACCCCCTTGCCAACCCATCTGATTTTGTCCTGTCTTAGAAATGTGGAGGAAGACAAGAGAGAAAACAGCAGAAAAGAGGAGGCTTGTCATCCAGGCCCAGTTCTCCTGGCTATGAAAGAAATCCAAGAGGCAGAAAAAGATTCCAGGCTACTTGAAAACCTGGAAAACAGAGACACGGGAGGAGCTGAGACGGACGCTTGCTCTGACATCCCCAAAGGAGCCGTCACGATTTCCAACGCATTATGACAATATTGTTAAACTCAGTAATAGCTCATTAAAAACATATACAGTATATATCTTGCCTTCTTATAGCCTATGGAAGTGGAGGCATCTCCTAACTGGCATGTTTTAAATAAGGGTGAGAAATCTAGGCTTACCCCTAGAGGTTTCTTTCAACATCTGCCTGCAACTGATCAGGTTTTCAGTATCAACAGTCAGTTCCTCTTCCTTGCTGGGGAGACAAGAAGAAAAGTTTGTTTGTTTGTTTGTATCCGGCCTTTGTTGTTTTGACAAATAACTCAAGGCAGCCAACATATCCAACACATTTTCCTTCTCCTGTTTTCCCCATAAAAAACAATCCTGTGAGGTGGGTTGGATTGAAAGAGAAAGGGACTGGCCCAAAGTCACCGGGCTTGCTTTCATGCTTAAGGAGGGACTAGAACTCACTTCCTACTGGTGATTGGCCCAAAGTCACCCAGCTGGCTTTCATGCTTAAGGCGGGACTAGAACTCACTTCCTACTGGTGATTGGCTCAAAGTCACCCAGCTGGCTTTCAGGCTTAAGGCGTGACTAGAACTCACCGCCTCCTGGTGATTGGCCCAAAGTCACCCAGCTGGCTTTCAGGCTTAAGGCGGGACTAGAACTCACCGCCTCCTGGTGATTGGCCCAAAGTCACCCAGCTGGCTTTCATGCTTAAGGCGGGACTAGAACTCACTTCCTCCTGGTGATTGGCCCAAAGTCACCCAGCTGGCTTTCGTGGAAAGGCAGGACTAGAACTCGCCGTCTCCTAGTTTGTAGCCTGACGTCTTAACCATTAGACTAAACTAGCTTTCATTGGTGGCATAATTATACTTAACTGGCAAATGGCGCCTAGCAATCCAAATTAAACATTGAAATGAGAAAGTACTTTGATTTAAAAATACCCAAGTGATTAGACTCCATAGTACACAATGCAACTATTTCGCTTAAAGCGATCGTTTGTTTCTTACAACATCCTGAGATGACGGCGTTTACATAGCACCAGTCAACTATGCAACCTCCAGTTTTACTGGATTGACGTGTACAGATAGTCCTTGACCTGTAATCCTTCGTTACACAACTGTTTGAAGTTATAACGACACTACAAAAAGAGACTTCCGTCCAACTGGTCCTCATACTTATGACTCACAGCCTCTCCAGAGTCACATGATCAAAAGTCAAGCACTTAGCCACCTAAATGTATTTATGACAGTTGCAGCATCCCGGGGGATCATGCGATCCTCATTTGAGACCATCCCAGCTGGCCTCCGACAAGCAAAGTCAATGGCTGGCTGGGGAATTCTGGGAGTTGAAGTCCACACAGCTTAAAATTGCCACGTTTGGAAAACAATGCTTTAGTCCCAGTTTGTATAGTTCAGGGGTAGGCAACCTTGGCTCTTTTATGACTCGTGGACTTCAACTCCCAGAATTCCTGAGCCAGCATGGCTGGCTCAGGAATTCTGGGAGTTGAAGTCCACGAGTCATAAAAGAGCCAAGGTTGCCTACCCCTGGTATAGTTGTAGGCTACTGAAACCTACCAAAAATGTGACTGGGTTTAGCAATTAACTTGGTTACATTTTGGAATAGGCGCCCACGAGAAAATGGAGCAGAAGGGAGGGCTATATCCAGGGAAGATGGTAAAAAGTGAATATTTTTTCCAAGAATGAAACCCCCTTGACGTTTTATTCTTTGGCTGATGCAGCTAAAAATTTTGAGCAAGATCCAAAGAAATTATTTTAACAGAACGACAGAGTTTGGAAGGGACCTTGGAGGTCATCCAGTCGAGCCCCCTGCTTGAGCAGAAGACCCTATTATGCCATTCCAGACAAATGGCTATCCAGTCTCTTCTTTAAAACCTCCAGGGATAGAGCAGCCACAACTTCTGGAGGCAAGGAGTTCCACCGGTTAATTGTTGTATCTGCCAGGAAATTTCTAGGTGAACTAAGACGACTTTGTTCTCTTTTGTCTGACTTTAGTTCTCAAGACAGCCCGTTTAGGCGCTGCAAATGAGAGAAAATCTGATTTTAATTGGTAGTTTCTCTTTGCCATCTGGTTAGATTCGGACTTTTAAACTGAGTGTCTGTGTTGCACATACAAAAAAAACCCCCCCAAACTGGCTCTATTGAACTGCCTTCAATTCAAGGACTGCCCATGCCTTGCCAATTTGATTCAGAAAACTTCCTGGCTTGGAGAGTCAATCCAACGGCTGTGAAATCCAGCCTATCTCTTCTCCAAGAAAAAGAAGAGAAAAAAAAATAGAATATTGCATATTATCTTTGTAGCCTCTACCGGAGGCAGATAAGCTTGGAAAAAACCGCTGATGTCTTCTTAGGAAATTGTTTAACCAGGATAACCCGGGACTGTCTGTCCACACAACTCGTTAATTGTTCACCAGCTTCAGAAACAAGTTTGAGCAAGAAATGAAGAGCCAGCTTAAAAACAAAANCGCAGATCCCCTCCCTCAGACCGGTACGCTCCCACAGAGTGGGCCTCCTCAGGGTGCCGTCGGCCAAGCAATGTCGGCTGGCGACCCCCAGGGGGAGGGCCTTCTCTGTGGGTGCCCCTACCCTCTGGAACGAACTACCCCCCGAGATCCGGATGATTCCGGATCTCCTTGCTTTCTGTCGCGCCCTCAAGACATGGCTTTTCCAGCAAGCGGACCTGACCTAGGGAGGATTTTATATGGGGTTTATTTTTTTAGCAATTCGACAGAGACACAACTTTAAAATTTGATCTAATTCGGTTTTATCGGGGGGGGAATGTATTTATGTTTTGTTTTAAATATGTTGTGCGCCGCCCTGAGTCCCGTCGGGAGAAGGGCGGCATATAAATTAAATTAAATAAAATAAATAAATAAATAAATTGGTGGCATAATTATACTTAACTGGCAAATGGCGCCTAGCAATCCAAATTAAACATTGAAATGAGAAAGTACTTTGATTTAAAAATACCCAAGTGATTAGACTCCATAGTACACAATGCCCAAAGAACAGGCAACTACTGTATTTCGCTTAAAGCGATCGTTTGTTTCTTACAACATCTTGAGATGACGGCGTTTACATAGCACCAGTCAACTATGCAACCTCCAGTTTTACTGGATTGACGTGTACAGATAGTCCTTGACCTGTAATCCTTCGTTACACAACTGTTTGAAGTTATAACGACACTAAAAAAAGAGACTTCCGTCCAACTGGTCCTCATACTTATGACTCGCAGCCTCTCCAGAGTCACATGATCAAAAGTCAAGCACTTGGCCACCTAAATGTATTTATGACCGTTGCAGCATCCCGGGGGATCATGCGATCCTCATTTGCGACCATCCCAGCTGGCCTCCAACAAGCAAAGTCAATGGCTGGCTGGGGAATTCTGGGAGTTGAAGTCCACACAGCTTAAAATTGCCACGTTTGGAAAACAATGCTTTAGTCCCAGTTTGTATAGTTGTAGGCTACTGAAACCTACCAAAAATGTGACTGGGTTTAGCAATTAACTTGGTTACATTTTGGAATAGGCGCCCACGAGAAAATGGAGCAGAAGGGAGGGCTATATCCAGGGAAGATGGTAAAAAGTGAATATTTTTTCCAAGAATGAAACCTCCTTGACGTTTTATTCTTCGGCTGATGCAGCTAAAAATTTTGACAAAGATCCAAAGAAATTATTTTAACAGAACGACAGAGTTTGGAAGGGACCTTGGAGGTCATCCAGTCGAGCCCCCTGCTTGAGCAGAAGACCCTGTTATGCCATTCCAGACAAATGGCTATCCAGTCTCTTCTTTAAAACCTCCAGTGATAGAGCAGCCACAACTTCTGGAGGCAAGGAGTCCCACCGGTTAATTGTTGTATCTGCCAGGAAATTTCTAGGAGAACTAAGACGACTTTGTTCTCTTTTGTCTGACTTTAGTTCTCAAGACAGCCCGTTTAGGCGCTGCAAATGAGAGAAAATCTGATTTTAATTGCTAGTTTCTCTTTGCCATCTGGTTAGATTCGGATTTTTAAACTGAGTGTCTGTGTTGCACATACAAAAAAAAACCCCAAACTGGCTCTATTGAACTGCCTTCAATTCAAGGACTGCCCATGCCTTGCCAATTTGATTCAGAAAACTTCCTGGCTTGGAGAGTCGATCCAACGGCTGTGAAATCCAGCCTATCTCTTCTCCAAGAAAAAGAAGAAGGAAAAAAAAATAGAATATTGCATATTATCTTTGTAGCCTCTACCGGAGGCAGATAAGCTTGGAAAAAACCGCTGATGTCTTCTTAGGAAATTGTTTAACCAGGATAACCCGGGACTGTCTGTCCACACAACTCGTTAATTGTTCACCAGCTTCAGAAACAAGTTTGAGCAAGAAATGAAGAGCCAGCTTAAAAACAAAAAAAAAACACAACAAAACGGCTGTAACATCGAAGCATCAAAATCTAATTTGGAAAATCCCCATTTCCTTTCTGGGGAGGCATCCCCTCCCCAGGACTCCATCCCTGGACCCAGCCAATTTTATTTTTTTTTTGCAGTTTTTAAAGCCCCCTCTCTTCCATGGAGTGGGAGAAATAACTTAATGAATAGAGTTGTCTCTGCCTTTCATTCCTTTTTTTTCGTTCTTGACAACTGCTTGGAGTGTGTGAACTTAGGACAAGCCCCAGAAAAATCTCTTAGCCAAGGCAGCCTTGCCAGTTTTTCTTTCTGCTCTCCCACCCCCTCCTGCCTAATAGCCCCCCCACCCCACCCCTGCCCATTGCATTCTGCTCCCATTTTCATGAATGGCTGTATTTTCTGCTCTGCCTTCGCCTCTCCAGCTAATCCTTCCAAAAGCCTTAGGACCTTGATCCCGGCAAATTAGGTCTGGCGTAATCCCACCCCAGGAGAGAAACGGGGCCCCTGCGCAATCTTTTGCAAGCATCCCCACGATCACAGTTCACACCGAAGCATCC